AGATTCTGCAAATAGTCCTTTTAAACTCTCCTGAGTTATCCCTTTTAGTTACTGTCTGTTCCATGCCGAGACACTGATCGGTCTCACCTTCTGCCTCCAGGTTCTGTATAGGTCCTATTTTCTTATGCAGACCTCTCATCGTTATCCACCTGCCCTCAGTGTCAGGAGGCTGACCTTGCCCTTTGGCTTCTAGACGGGTTTGGACGATGGGAAGCACTGGCAGGAGGAGAGTGGGCTTCCTGCGTTTATTCTGCCAATTTCCTCCAGCCAAATCATATCATATTGGCTCTCTCAGAGGTCCAGTCCTATCAGGCGGCTCTCTTTGTACCTTTTAGTCCTAGGGGTGATAGTGGCTTCAGGAGGTTGCAGTATCTCTTGACTCTGTCTGTCCCTTCCATACCTGGTAATAGTCCTTTATTAAGTTCTTCTTAATTACACAGTTTGGCAGTTTCTTGCTGAAATCTTGACTGCTCCATTGTTGATATTCCTTCAGCTTCAATCTTGCTTGTTTATAGTTGTGTTATTTTCCTGTGGCACTTATCTCTCTTTCATTAAAATTTTTTTAGTGAGGTCTTTTTCATTTCTTCCCTCTTTTAGTCTGTTTTCCTTTTTCCTTACCTGGCTGCCACATAATAGGAATTGAAAAATCAGAATGAATAAGGAGTGGAGATTTACAAGAGGAGGGACATTTGAATTTTCCTGTGGTATAGAATAATATTTATTTAGATATCTCAAATGAGAAAATGGGGGAAGGTGGTGGGTACTGAAGTCAGTATAGTCACTTTAGTAATATCTAGATTTGTACTTCTTTCTTTTCAAAAAGTAAACTTAGCACTTGTTTTTCTTTACCTTTGCTGCTACATATTCGAAGTTAACATTGGTTTACTTCAGTTTTTCTCTGTCTTTAAAATGCATTTATATTTATACTATTGAAATTTTTTGTAACAACATGTCTTTGAAGAAGTATGTACTATATATGAAATGGGAGAGATTTTAATTATCACTTAATTGCAGGAGAATATAGGAAACGTGTGTGTGTGTATGTATCTGTAGGTATTCACACTATCTTCCTCAATATATCTTAGAAGGGATGCACTAAGAACAGACATACAGTAGCTAACAAATGTGTTTAGCAAGATTGAACTATAAAAGTGAATTCTCAAAAACAAAAAAGTCAATTCTCTAAAGGAATTTTAATTAAGAGAAAAATATTCTAGAATTATGATTAGAGTCAAAAATAGTTTCCATGTCCTGTATATATTAAGGAAAGCATACAGCTGTCTTATGAAGGGGTTTATTTGGAGAAGGATCTTCCTATAACAGTAATGTCGACACAGAACTCTTCCATTACTACCCTTAAAAATACTGTCGAAAATAATCTCTATAGCAGATGGAGAATATTTTGTTGCTTCTTAGCGTAGAGATATCTGTCTCCCCTAGGGGGATGGATATGCCCCTCTCTCTCTCTCTCTCTCTCTCTCTCTCTCTCTCTCTCTCTCTCTCTCTCTGTCTCTCTCTCTCTGTCTCTCTGTCTCTCTGTCTCTCTGTGTCTTCTTGGGGTGCCATAACAAAATACCATAGACTGGGTGGCTTAAACAACAAATTTATTTTCTCACAGTTCTGGAGCTGGAATTCTGAGATCCAGGTGTCAGTATGGTTGGGTTCTGGTGAGAGCTGTCTTCCTCACTTGGAGACAGCTGCCTTGCTGTGTCCTCACGTGAGTGCGTGCATGTGGAGAGAGAGGTCTTTCTCTCTTCCTCTTCTTATAAGGCTACCAGGCCTGTTGGGTTAGAACACTACTTTCATGACCTCATTTAACCTTAATTACCATCTAAACATCCTATCTTCAAATACAATAAAATTGAGGATTAGAACTCCAACATAAGAATGTGGGGGGACCACAATTCAGTCCGTAGGGTTGTGCATGTGTATATATATAAAACATGAGCAGTAGAGGAAATCTACTAAGTATGAAAGAAATTCATACTTAGACTATGATAACCCAATATTGAAGCTTATTATTGATATTTCTTCATAAAGACATTGTTGTGTCAGTAGAGATGGTATAATATACTCTCTCACAGGTTACTAATTATACCCTTTTCCCTAAGATTTGTAGTCTACTCAGTTTTCACTTTCCTTAATGTCTTAGTATTGGACATCCTACGTTTATCTAGATATAGATTTAATACTCTAAGCTACTTTCATTGGCTGTTGTATCACAACACTCTCCTCTTCCTTCTCTATTGCTTACTCTTTTGTTCAAAGAATGGCCAGGGTGTGCTGCTGAATGAGACACACACAGCCCCTGCCCTCTGGAGCATGTAATCATCCTTTCTTCCTCTTTCTCCTATAATCTCTTTTCGAGATTTCACTATGGAGATTAGTTCTTGGCTGATTGTTCGATCTCTGTTAGTCTTGACTTTAGGCTTTCTCTGAGAACTGTTTCATTCTCTTGGCTTAAGTTACCCATTGCATATATCTCTCTACTTCTGATCTTTATTCTGAATTTTATTCATTTAGCCATTCAGCAAATGGCTAAATTTTATTCAGAGCCAACTGTGTGCCTGGTGCAGAGGATTACAGGAATGATATAGTCTTTACCATCAAGTTGCTGAGAGAATGCAAAAGATAGTTTAAAATATAGTGTGATAGACGTATATACAACATGCCATTGGACAGATAAGTAGGGAGTGCTTGGCTTGAACTTAAAGGGGAAATGAGAGGGCAAGTATCTCCAGTAGAAAGCTGAACATATTTGAAGGCACCTAAGATTTTGAAAACAGTATATTCAGGCAACAACAAATGGTTCCTTGTGTTTGGAGCCTTGGGCTGCATGGGGAAGAGTGAAAAATGAGGCTGAGCATTTAAGAAGGTGCCAGAGCACTCCAAAGGCAATACACTCAGTACTAAACTAATTTTTTCCATATAAACCAGCTCCCCATCCCAACTTCAGATTTCTGTCAATGGGACTATCATTTTCCCTACTTCCAAAACCCTGACGTGTCGTCTCCAGGCCTGTCTCAGCAATTTGATCAGTCATCAAGTTGAGTCATTTCTAGATTCAAAACTCTCTTTCTCACATTCTTTTCTGTTTTCACTATCAACACACCACATAAGTGTTCCCCTTTCTGCTACTTTTTAAAAAAAAATTCTAAAACCCCTTATTTTACCCAAATGCTGGCCCCAAACAAAAGGAGACAGTGATATTTTATTTCCTATAAGCTCTTAGGTCAGTATTTTAAATACATAATTCTTTTTAGTGAACTCAAAATTCCCAAGCCTACTTCCTCCCATTAAAAAAACAAAATTGCAGATTTAAGAGTAATCTGTAGCAAAGATTTTGTTCTATTAACTTTGGGTTTTTATTATGAACATAACATGTGTTTTATACCAAACAAGCTTTTCAAAAGGACAGGCCCCCCTCCCACCCCTGGTGCAATTATATGTTCCTTGTCACATTTCTAACTTGTTAATTTAGCTAGATCGCTTGCCATCATGGAAGGCCCTATATACACTGACTCTAGAAACAGATTACCTGTGTTGGAATCCTGGTTCCACTTACTGGTTTCAGTGAAGTTCTGCAATTCTTAAAGCCTCATAAGTTTATGTGAAAAATGAGAGAAGTGATAGTACCTACTTCACAGAGTTGAGGTAAAGATTGAGTTAATTTCTGTAGCCTGTGCTTGGCATGTGTGAGCATGTAGTACCTGTTGGCTGTAAAGTATTATGTACCCTGAAAACTCCTTGCTCATTCCCTCTGTGATCTTGTTGATGTGCTCTTGCTGACCTTGCATCCATCTACCACTAAATGCTCTCCTTGAACCCTTCCCTATTGCCTATGATTTACCTGCTGTTTCAAGTTCAACTCAGTTGCCTTTGTCTTTTCTGACTACTCTAGTTCAAGTTGACCTCTGAATTCTTTTTATAGGACCTTTTATGCCATTTTAGAAATTAGTCATGTTTTCTGTCTTCTATGATATTTCTTCTAAAATTTACATGTAATAAAATTCACTTTTTTTTGGATGCACAGTTCTGTAAGTTTGGACAAAGGCGTAGAGTTGTGGAATTACTATCACAATCAAGATACAGAAAATTTCATCATCCCTCCCCCAATTCTGTCTTGGTGTTACTTTTTAAACAGTTTCCTGAGTATACATTCTCTTTTTACACGTACAATTTAGGCTCTTGAACCTAGTATCTGTTTTACACTAATTTGTTTCCCTTATAAATGGCCTAGCCTAATATTGAGCATATAGTAAGTAGATGCTTGAACATTTAAATTTTATAGAACAAAGCCTAAAAGCATGGTAAATTTGAACATATTAAGAAGCTACTAATTAAAGTTATTTGGGTAAAAAATTGCGAATGAAATTACTCTGTATAAATTCTTAAAGTGATTTTGGAGTCTTGCCAGGCCTAATAAAAACCATTTTTAATTTGTCTTTGGAATACAAAGGGCTTGTTTCTTTCTATTTTTATTGTCAAATATACTTATGGTTTCTATTGTTTTCTAACCCTATTAATTTAAATTTTAATGTAAAACAAATTTTATATCTTTCTCCTCAACTCTATTTGGCTGTTATGACATGATTATTAAATGTATTTACTGAGTTTTCCCCTTTTTTCTTAAACATATTTAAGATATCTAGCAATTCAATTAAAAATGAATTAGTTACAAAATGTAAAACCTTGCTGTTTTCTCAGATTTATTTTTCTGTGGGCCAATTTTGCTCTCTTCCCTCATGTTTTTTTTTTAACTGATTGTCTCTAAAATCGGAGGTCAACACAAGAGAATTTATACTTGATAGAGGTGAGACTGATATAGACATGCTCATGCTGCATGGTTTCCTCAACCTTCATTCTTGGATATTGTGGAATATTTGTTTTTCAGAAAGGGTACAGTATGTTTTAAGATTTGCACCCCATTCAGTAGACTTTACTTCCTAACGAAGTGAATTGAATTTAACCATGTGTGTCTTTTTTCCCTTCCCCAACAGCTTCCATGCCTATGGCTGTTCTAAATTTGGGCCAAATATATCCATTTCAGAGAGGCTTTTTCTGTACAGACAACAGCATCAAGTATCCGTACCATGACGGTACCGTCTCAAGCTCTGTCCTCAGCACAGTGGGGCTTGGTTTACCCATTTCCTCTGTAAGTAAATTAATAAATAGGTAGCAGTGGGCTTGTTGTGCTGAAGGTTGGATGAAGTGATGGAGTTGGGGCGGGGGTAAATCCAAAGCACTATCCTCACCAGTGTTTATGTGGTGAATGATTGCTTGAGGAATATACCCACTGTTTTAATCTAGGGGCAGCCTCTCCAGTTAAAAGGGGATGCTACCCAAAACAACTTGATGTTATCATGAAGAATTATAGAATGATTATTTTAGAATGGAAGGGTTCATTTAAGTCATTTGGACCAACTCATTTTAGTATACAAGTGAAGAAACTTATGCCCAGACACTTGCTAAAGCCCAGTAAGCTATTCTACGGCAGAGCTAAAATTAAGATTATGTTTGTTTTATCATATTATTAGATAGAAATTGAGGCCATAATAAAGGATAGATTTTTTAAATTAAATTTGAGAAAATAACTCCGTAGAAAGGCTATAAATATATATGCAAAAAAAAAAAAAATCCTCAGAATACGTCAGAATTGTATCATTATTTTTTAAGTTGTATTGACCTTTATATAGTTCATCAGTTTGTAAGATAATATTGGGTTTCATTATTTTAGATAACTGTAAAGTTTCCTTCTAGGTTAAGTTTCACTAACTGGATGAGATTGGCACTTAAGATGTTGTGCTTACTTCCTTTATCCTTGACTCTGATTCCTGAACCTTGCCTTATGTCTCTATGTGACTTGGAAATAGAAGGAGCTGAGTAGAGATTTACCTCCTAGAGTGTCTTAAAAGTCAGCCGGTCATGCCATACTTCTCCTCTGACCACCTATCTCTTATCAGTAGTCTTCTCCAGAGAGTTTACTTAAAAATTTTTGTCTTA